TTGGATGCAAAACAATCAATTGTTAAGAAATAAACTATACATGCTTTTTGTAATTTGAGTACTTCTTTATAAGAAAGAAAACCCCAGGAAATAAAATTACATTTATACTGGTGATTAAATAGCCTTTTTAGTAGTGTTTCTTTACCAACGGTATATGTCGTAGTATTACAACAGAACTTAGATAATAATCACTGTTTAATCAAGGTACTTAATGTATAAATTTGCCTTTTTCATTCTCACTTTGATTCACATTTATTTGAAATAAAGCGTAATCTCGTCAAAGGAACGGAACCGTTACTGTATACAGAAATCATGTAGTCTGTTCATATTTATTGTCTATATACAATAATTTTGTATTGTTCGTGACTCAAAGCAATTATGGCCGCTTTTAAATAAGAACGATTGCAGCAGACCAATGCGTACAACAGCTACAAATCAATGTGTACTCCTATACTTCAAATCCGTATAAATCTAACGTTGAGTTTTAAATTAATGAATATCGCTACCATGATTGATAATGTAACAAGTATCGGAATTTATATAATTACTTAAAAATACTAAGTACAATACAGGTCGCAGTTCAACCTTTTGGTGAACACATACAAGGCACTGAATGGAACAGTTCCCCAGTACCTACATGAACTTGTTAGCCTGTAGCAGCCGTCACGATCACTGCGGTCGGAGTCAGAATCGTTGTTGCGTGTCCCAAAATCCCGTACTGTGATCTATAAAAACCAGTGCATTGGGAGGGTTTCTGCCACGTTGTGGAATAGCTTACCATATGTTAATATGAAAAGGCAAAGCCTTAAAAGAGCGTTGCTTTTGTTGATCTCTGATAGATACTGATTTCAGAATGGGATAAGATAAGCTTTATTCAAGGTCGGCAAGTCGAGGAATGACAATAAAACACAAATCACTAATGATAATTTTGTTACAGTCAACAAGGTTTGCAGGTAAGGATGCCAAATAAAATTAAACATTTCTGCCTGTAACTAGTTATAAATCCGCTCGCGATGTAAAACAGTAATACGTTGCTGAGAAATGGCGTTAAACTTGTGTTGGTGGTCTGGAAAATCATTGTTGATTTCAACATAAATGCGTTATTAATTGTTTCTTTTATGAGTGGTGATGTATAAATACATCATGTAAAGAATATAAAAAGACTTAATATTGTGACGAAACACCCCCCCCCCCCTTTGGTCACGGCCCTGCCCTTGACCTCAGGTATTGACGGAAGTCTAGACTGCGTTATACTTTAGTTGTCCGTCCATGGTCATTAGTGGTTGGTCAATCAAAGTCTGTAACTCTGTAAAGTAGTACCGCTGCCACCATATGTGCGTGACGACTAATTAACTAAACTATACCTGTCTTGTAAAATGGCTATTGACCCAGCCTCAAATATACATGTTAATATATGAGACTAGTGCAATGAGCCAAAGGCTCGATTTGATAGGCCGTCACTAAAGTTTTATCAAAGCCTTGCTGGTCTTGAGGTTCGAAAAATGTGTTACGAGCCCAGATTTGTAAGCGATTCCGGTACCTTACTTAAATGAAAACCATGATTCATTAAATACAAATATGTACATTTATTGTGTGCCGACTATTTACATAAAATATGAAGTCTTGGTCTTGATCCTGATCCCTAGGTTCCGTAATCGGAGGAATTGCCAAAAGGTGATATCCAAGTTCGTAGTCTCCACAAAGGTGGGTTCCGTAGTAATTAAGACGTACCGATCCTCGATATGTGTCCTCTTCGTTGTGGCCTGCGCGCAACTGGCGGTTAATCAGCTACTACCCGACAGTGCCTGGGAGAGAACGTGTGCCACCCCAGGCGGTGATAACCATTGGTTACTCCCTTTGATGAAATCTAATCCACTGGTCGAGTGGAAACACTATAACAACACGTACTCTTCTAATTGCTTACGAAATATGATTGAATTTGATTATAGGCTGACTATCCAAAATATGATGGGAAAACTTAACATTGAAAGTAACATCGAAGTAAAATTCCTCTAGGAGTACTAATAGCGGAAATTTGGAAAGGCAACACAATGACATAATATGACGATAAGTCCCTATCTCCTGGTCGGGTAATATTCCAACAACAACAGAATAATAATAATCCCTTCACCAATAGCACAAAATACTTGAACACTAGTAACTAATTAAACTACACAACTCATTATACCGTCAACACTTTGGCTGTACTGACTTTCCAATACCACTGCGCATTCACCACATACATTACTTATGCATACAACTCAATACTAATGCACATTGATTACATAAACGCCTTATGACTGAAGCACAATATAACTGCACAGTAGTCACATAAGTCCAGTATTAATCTATTACAATATAACTGCACAGTGATCACATACATTCTTTATTAATCTAGCACAATATAACTGCACAGTAGTCACATAAATCCTTTATTAATCTAACACAATATAACTGCACAGTGATCACATAAATCCGTTATGCATATAACACAATAGAACTACACAGTGATCACATAAATCCCTTATGCATATAACACAATATAACTCTGTAGAGTAGTCACATAAATCCCTTATGCATATAACACAATATTACTGCACAGTGATCACATAAATCCTTTATGCATATAACACAATATAACTCTGTACAGTAGTCACAAAAAAAAACTTATGAACCTTACACAATAAAAATGCACACTAGTCACAATAAATCCCTTATGAATCAAACACAATAGAACTGCACAATAGTCATATAAATCCTTTATGAATCTTACACAATGTAACTGCACAGTAATCACATAAATCCCTTATGCTTATAACACAATAGAACTGCACAGTGATCACATACGTCCCGTATGCATATAACACAATAGAACTGCACAGTGATCACATAAATCCTTTATGAATCTCACACAATATAACTGCACAGTGATCACATACATCCCTTATGAATCTAACACAATATAACTGCACAGTAACACAAGTTCTTTATAAACGGTATCCAGTTCCAGGGTTACACGATAATCCAGTGGAATACACAAAACACATCCAGAGGCACTGTTGACACTTCTCTATTCTCCACGCAAGTTATAAGATTGACCCTATTCCAGACTGACACTTCACATTTACACGTTAAACCAAATCTGGTGGAAATTCGAAGTCGTTTCTGATTAACACTTTTATGGGATGAATCTCTACAGGTTGTCGTTCTAGTAAACAGGCATGACTAAGTGGTGATTTTATGATCGCTGCCGTCACTCCTGTGACCACTGACACTACAGCTAAAAATCACCCCCTCCATGCCTGAGGATAAGATAAGGAGTTAAAAAGGTCTTAACAAATAATTTAGTTGATTAATAAAGTTGGGAAATTAGTAACTATACACAGTTAGTTAAGACCCAATATAACGAGAGTGAAGTAAGACATGAATCTTTAAGGTAGGAAAATCCCCCGAAATTATGAAACACTTCTATAAGGTAATATTACAGTACTAAGCACTTATTTAAACAAATGGTAAAAAATATTACGTATTTACCCAACTGCCTGATAGTCCTGCTTGAGTCATCTTCGTTTAATTAGCCGCTATCTATAATAGGTAATGGTGTGTATAAGCCAATCTATCTCGGCTGAAATTCCTTATCTCAACAAGCCCTAGGGATGTTTGTTTGTTGTTTGTTGATGGGTTTATAGACTCCTTTTCACGGGCGGAGCCCGTGTTCTGGCGTCTTGAGGGGGTAAGTCTCCAGCTTACCGGGCCTTCGGTGATTCAAAATGACCTTGTCCGTCCAGATCACGCCCTAAGGTCGGTCAGCTCCTTAGATGCGGATAGGCTGTCACAGTTACATGCAGGACGTATACGGGAGCGTGGAACACGTCCTTTAAACAGCTTCACCATCCGCCTATGAGCCCTAGGGAGCCGCGCACCTCTTTTTATACGACCCTCATAAACATCTATTGACTAATTGACCAATCAAATTGGGCTCCATCGGCCTTGGTCCCGGATGAAAGAAGGGGGTTGCTGCACTATTGAGTGGCTACTCTGTCCCCCCTACTCATGACGTATACGTGGAGATCCCTATTTTTATCAGACAGTGGTCAGTCTAGGGTAAATGGCTCCTATACTATCTCGACTGTGTGGCTGGGAGGACTCGATGAACCCCAGTAAATTACACATGAATTGTGAAATACAATTTTGGTGAGCTGGCAGCTTAATTACATCAGGTAGGAAATAAAAGACGAGGTATAACTTTGTTACAATATATTAGATATTTCGTTCATATTCTCAACAATATGTTCTGAAAAGCTGAGGAAAAGTTTAGACCATGAACAAATACATGTACACGTACTGACGTTGACCTGGCATTGGTTTAATGCCGGCTCTTTTAGAAGATACCTCCCGGCAGAAATATTAACAGAACCTGGTTAAAACAAAAAGGATATTCCGAAAATATCCGCATTTTTACTTTTTGTGCCTGTGGCAAAAACAGAAATAAAAAGCAAATTCGTGGACTTTATATCCCCCGCTTGCAGGACATTTTGTAGGTTAACACTATTGAGGTTAGGTTTAAACATTTAAGTATCGTTCTGTTGAGACCTAATGTAATGCTTGAAACTCGAAGAAAACAAAACGCCTTCTACAATCGGATAATATTTGCGAGAGCTAATGACGTTTATCGAATTCAAGGGGCCATAATTCCGCCAAATAAAGTATGCTAGAAGTGGTCATCGAACTTGGCCATGCCCTTCAGGCATTTAACCCTGTTACCAAGTTTGAAGAAAATCTGTTAACATTTGTTTCAGTTATTGCATGGAAACGGCAGATAATGACGTTTTCCGCCATTCAAGTGGCCATAACTCCTAACGTGCTCCACAGAATATGTAGATAAGCTACTGCTATTCATTGCCGCAATGTACATGAATAAAAACTCCATTCAATCCCTATATGAAAGTTTTATAAAAAATCTGAAGTCAATCATTTTGGTTCCAATCGGAAAAGTAAAACTTCAAAAACTAGCAAACTGTACTTGATTTATCAAAAATATTTAGATTGATTGCTAAAATGGTAAGTTTAATTTCTTTATTTGAATCTCTTAAAAATTTATTGTGATTACAATGTAGGACTTCTGGGTTAGAGAGAAAATGAATATTGAGCTCGGGTTAATTTCCATATCTCAGCTAATTGTGGTTTGGTTAGCATCTAAATAGTTTTGTAAATAACTGTGTTTTATTAGACTGATGTATTTAAAGCATTTTAAAGACTTAGCGTAAGAGATGATACATATATAGAAAATATGAATATTCACTACTAAAGATATAAAAAAGTAAAACTATTCTTATCGAATAGAGTTAAACAGGGGAATGAAGGTAAATGGTGGAATAGTTAAAAAAAATAGAACACTTCTTGTTCTTGCTTTTCTTTGAATGGCCCTTTGGGATGCATCGTACAATAACTAATTTTCTACAGTAACATAATATACAGTATAAAATACTTATAATCAATCACAAAACACATAACCAGATGTTTATACATGGGATAATTCGGTTAATCTTGAAAACCTTTTCAAAAGAGAGAGGAATAGAGTTGCAATGTAACTTGACAACATATATGGGAACATGGTCTGATTACAAAAAAAAGCTTAATATCTATAAAAGTAAAATGTTCTTTCGCAGGAAAATATGTAACAAAACAAGCAAACACACTAGAGCGACAGGTCTTTACAAATAATGTACATCGTTTTATGAAGAAATAGAGTCACTTTCTCATATCATATTCGAGTGGAATAAAGAATGCAGAACTCTGGAAAAAAACTTTTAAACTGTAACTGTTGTGTCTCGGAACTGACATATTCGCCCACAAAAACGTATGTTAACCGTTTTCAGTCCCGTGTTAAAAGCTTCTTTCTCTCAATAGTCAGGTTGGAAATTAAAAATTCTGTATTTCTTCATTGCAGACAGCATAGAAGTAACATAGGTACTGCAGTAAATGTCGAACGGCCATGTTGGTTTTGATCACATTTTCGTATCCTCATCAATGTCATCAGGACTCTTGTATCGTTGATAGGCTCCAGTATCATTTTGAAAAGTATGATTGACACCTGTTTTGTCTATCGGTACTGTAGGTTGATCCTCTTTGCTGCCGCGTGATAGATAAACGTTTGGGTCAGTTACAGACGTATTTATCTGTTCTTCGTGGATTTGTTCCTGAAAAACAATAAATAACAGAGTCTGGTCAGTATTCAAACTATACAGTTACAAGATGGTGTCTATATACAAGGGGTCGTTATATACAAGTAGACGTTAAGGCATGTTTCAATGAATTTTATCAATAAATCAAATTGCAGACAAATAACCTTGGAATACTAAAAAAAAGTAACGACTTACATTTTCATGAATACGTGTGTGATCTATGTTACAATGAAGAAATGTTCTGATTTTCTGTGGTAGACAACAACAGAAAATGTCAAAGACTGGTATCAGGTACTTTGGTGGGACCTCATGTCTTTTTGTAGGCCCTGTAATAAATGTATAGGATTTAGATGTATAGGGAAACACAACTGGGCGTTATTTCATTGGTCAATTTTCTAATTATGACATCAAGTAACAATGCTCTGCGACATCATCTTCCATTGTGAAGTCAGATTTTATGGCAATTTTTTCTCCGATCGGAAACAGGAATAATGTATTCCGAAGAGAATCATATTGTTTTCTAGATGAAATATCCTAACGTTGTTGAAGAAAGTGTTCCCAAACTCGGGATTGTTGATTATAATGGTATCTTATCTCGTTAGTTGATCTTCAAACTGTAAACGACACTCGTCAAACCTCGTATCTTTACAAAATTTGAAAATAAACTAACTCGAGATACATAAACATTTAGTTATTAGGTTGAAAAATGTTTTATTTGTTTTTTTTATTTGTATAACCTTTTATTTTTCAAGCATTTTTACATCGCATATGAACACACACGCACCATTCATCCACACACACACACACACCAATCATCATCATCATCATCATCATCATATCATCATCATCATCATCATCATCATCATTATCATCATCTTATCATCATCATTGAGAGAGAGAGAGAGAGAGAGAGAGAGAGAGAGAGAGTGTCATTTCTAGTAAACAGAGAACCCAGGAGTTATCGTATATCGAGAGTAAAGACGACTATTACATATGTCCGTTCAGAGTGTTGACTGGTCGAGGAGATGAACTTTGACCGTGACTACTTTTTTCACGCGCTTAAGGCCACGTGCTGTTTTGTTTACGTCCTCTGCAGACGGATTACAGGCAAATGTTGGTGATTTAGTGAGGTTATGCGATGGGGAAAGAGGGTGATTAAGGCAATATAACAAGCAGATGATACTCTCGTAATTTTAAGACTTTAAAAGTTCGTGTCCTTTGTAACTTTTGAAAATGAACTAACTCGATTGTAATAAATACCATATTTAACAACCACTCGTTGCGTAAACTCTATATATTGTACACTGTAAATAAAGCACAAAAAACAAACCGAGTTAAATGAAGTATGAGATTTGCGTTTACAGTAAGTTATAACGAGTTCGCTCCCCTTGTTCGAGTCCTTTACACCTACCTGGCACATTCCGATGCATTATGGGATTGATAATGTTTTACAAATATTTAAGACAGTAATGACTATTCTAGTGTCAAATATTTATGTCACTTGTTAAATTCGAGAGATAAAAATTAGCTGTGCCCCAACGAGTGATACTATATACGACTGGTCATCCAGTGCGCCAGGTAAAATACCCAACATTCAACACTAGGAATACTGGACAAACAGGTTTACAACACGTTACATAACAACCGCATAGTCTCGTTCAACCAGACGTTTGATCACTTGTAATTCAAGAGTCTGGTCAAACACAGTGCATTAACATTATCACCACCAGAGGGCAGTATTTCTACTTTCGTTTCGGGACGTTATGTCAACGCCATTAAACATTTCAATGAATAATGAAATTAATGAAAAAAGTTACCTGTACATGCATTCCTGAAGTACCCGTGTATTCACTTTTATCGAGAACAATGTAAGAAAATGTGTCAAATCTCCAGAATAATGACATATATTTCCATTAAATAAATCATAACTAAGCACAAAGCCAACAAGGCTGACTGAAGTTTGAAAAAAGCATGCAAAGCAAGTGAGATTTTACCTGTACACCATTCAAAACACCTTCAAGTTCTCACTCAGGTTATCTGGCTTGACTTGTATCAATAGCCTTGTTAGCTTCATGAATTATTGTAAAATATCCAATGAAAATACATGAAATCATTCTTTTTGAAACATTTTTTTTACATTTTTCTCGTTAATAGTGAAAACATGGATACTTCAGGAATGCACATACAGGTATTTTTTAATGAATTAAAATATTCAATGTAATTTTGGGCCACTCAAATTCTGACTTTAAAAGTTAAAAAGGGTGTGCAACCTTTGACCAATGAAACAATTTACCAGAATCTCGGTAAGCCTCGTTATGATGTCACAAAACGAAAGCACTGGGTTTGACCAGATTCTCTATTCGGCGTAGCTTGCGCAGGCAACAAGGGCCTGGTTGAACGAGACTACACAACCGCACAGTATCTCACTTGCATTTCAACATGCTATTTCCGCGCGCGCGCTAAAAATGTCGCCGCAATGCGTTACGTACAATATCACACGGAAGTCTGATTTTTTTTCATTTATTCTGACAGCAAAATGTACAGTAAATACTTTTATAAACAACCTGCATCTTGCATTGTGATATATTTACAATTTGACAGTTCCCCAACAACAACAACTGTTGAAAGAAAGCATCACCAGCTTCAATAAAACTTGGGTAAATACTAGGAGAGAGGAAACAGATAAAGGTATAATGGGGATTGTGGTGGAATATTTTTTAATAGTTATTTAGTGCGTTATTGGTACATACTCACTTATTCGGCTCTATCAATGGCTTTAAGTGGTTCCAAACAGTGACAGAAATCTCTCGTGTGAATGATGCAATATTTAAGTATAAACATCAAAGATTAAACTGTAGTAGTCTATCCTTTTTTTTCGTTGACTTAAACTTTTGGCTTTGAGCTAGATAAACATAATAACCAACCACCACTCGTTCGGGACACTTGTTGTATTTCGCACTTTAGTATATATATATTCCTTCAAAAATGAAGAGTTGATTTGAATTTGTAATGATAAAATGCTACATAAATTCAAACACAGATATAATAGTATAGGTATCATGTTCAAATAATGACAAATTCATTAATTTGTAATATCTATACAACAGGATAAGATAAGTACAAAATCATTAGATTACATTCTTTAAAAACAAGGCAAGCCTTCACACAACAGGTGAATACAAACTTTAGACAACGCTGATTTAACCGAAAGTCGTTAATTTGTAGCGAAGGGGTCTATAAGCATTGTACTATTTTCATTAATTTATGGAAAATTTTGATATTGATTATTTCAACGATTTTCTCCAAAATTTGTAAGAGCACAGACGGATGTTCACCTATTAGATATTATTTTTCCCTGTAATAAATAATTATAACCTATAATTCTCACCTGTAGTCAGAAATTCTTACCTGTAATCAATGATTCTCATATAAAATAAGAATTTTCACTTGTAATGAAGAATTATCGCCCTTTATCAAGGGTTCCCACCTTTACTCAAGGATTCCCACGTGTTTTTTATTTGTTCTCATCTTTATAAATATAATCAAGGATTCTTACCTGTTATCAAGCTGACAATGAGTCCGACGATTACACAGACGAGGGTTCCAAAGGTGGAAAACCACAGGTAAGACAGCGAGTATAGCTTGGTTAGGGCGTTACTGTACCGTCAAACATATAGCATCAATATGTTTTATAAGGCAACCAAAACACCTTAACTAACAACCTGAATCTAAAACTTCAATGTAACGTTGATCAATAATGACAAACAGCTCTACTCCGTTATAATTCAACCTCCTTCGTCAGCTACATTCTGTACAGTGTAGCATTGAATCTATACAACAAGAAATTCTAATAGGCAAATATATATATATAAACTAAAAAAATATATTTATTTTATAACAGTTATAAAACAAGTTATTTTAACTTATATCAATCATCCTTGTTGGCCCAGATGTTAGTGCACGGAGAGTCTTTTTGTGGGAGGAAACCAGAGAACCCGGTTAAAACCCACGCGGTCGGTGACCCCTACCTTTTCAGGTCCTATCGGGCAATCGAACCCCGTCCGCCTTGGTGAAAGGCAATTGCGCTACCCACAGCGCCACCCGACCATAATAGGCACACACTTTGATTCCCACTATGTATTTAACCAGATTAACATAAGGGTGAAGAGCCGCACATTTTTTCCACAGGCTCTGAATTTGTTTTCATTTCAATTTATGTTAATTTCATTATATTTACACAGTGATAATTATACAGTTAGTATTATCTGTGTAACCGTCGTCATATGACTTTCACTGTAACGAGGACGCAGCACCAAAACCAAAAATAATGTTGAAGAGCAAGAAAAAATAGAGAAAATGATACAATACTTACACTGACGTTGCCATGGATGGACTCTCGGTTATCATTTCTGATACAGCTGTTGAACTCATGTAGGCTAATTGTATATCTGTCATGGTTGAATAGTCAAGTATAGTACCAGGAGAATGTGTTGGCTCGGAATACAACGATGTTAAGTTCAGCAATGAAATGTCTGTATCAGATGAACAATTTGATGTCGGAAACTCGAGTATTTCCGAGGATCCAATAACAGTATATTTCCCGATGTTGATCCATAACATAACGGCATAGGAAACTAGACTTCCAGCAACAGCACCCTGGACACCACGATAAACAATTTCCAAAATTATCACGTGACTGCCGTGTTACCCAATGCAACTCAAATTTCAATTGTAGTTTAGCTCATATAATAGCATCGATTGTAACGTCAGAAATACGACAATCAACGAGTCCTCGTGACATTGTGACACTGGGTCGATTAAAACAGACATAAAATCTTAAAGAAGGTCTTCAGAGGTTTTGACCCCAAATGCTTTAATTTCTAAAAGCTAGTTTTTCGTACACTACAAACAAAAAGCAATTTGGAAAAAAGCAAAACTTGACGTATTCCGTACAAGACATTCCAGCAAAGTTTGTGCATCTTATGTCCATGAGGTGGCGTAAGTTGCCGATGAGAGGATTGCCATAGTAAAACAATATCTTGACAAACATTCAACAATGACGTCATGATAGTACATGTGGTTATCCTTTAGGACACGTACATAATGCATATGTTGAAGTATGAGAAATACGGTGATGTTGATATAAACAAATAAGTAGTGACTGTGTTGACGAGTTTGATTTTGGGACAACAAAATTAACGATGACAGGATTGACGAGGAGGGATAGTGAGATGGATAGCGAGACAACCAGATTATAAGTAGCTGAATTAACGAGAACTGTTAATGAAACAACTTAATAAATAATGTTTTGCTGGCAGAAGGATTAACGAAGCAGGATAGAGATGGCTAGATGTGTGAGGCTGGATAGAATAACTACCAGTTTTGGAAAGTTCAATTATTTTTAACTTGCTCATTGATATGGTTTTTATTTGTTTACATAATGTTTTGCCATGAGGACGTAATATTACTTTGACTTGACCATAGATGAGGAAGAAGACGCTTAACATTCTGAAAGGTCTGACCTTCCTTTGTTTATATTTTGCTCTGGTCTTATCGATCGTGAGTTCGAGTTACGGTCTTGTTGTCACTTAGGTATTTTTTTTTAGAAAGTTTGTTGATAACAAGAGCAATGACTTGATAAGCGATGCTTACTCTTATAAAAAAAAGAGATGACAGTTTGCTTGTTGGATTTACAATACTGGAAAATAGGAATAGGAATAACATTAACGATATAGGTGCGAACATTTTCTGGAATCTCCAACTGCTGAAACGTTGTCTACCAAATGATCAGAACTCGTAAACACCGTAGTCAATTTCCATGTTTTTTGGAGTTTTTTTTTCTAACATTTTCAGTAAAATACTCACAATCCAGTTACAGCAAGGGAAAAAGGCACCCAAGATCACAATTCCATTCAGGGACCCAGAGGCTGCTCCCATGAAACTCAGCGACGCCTGACATTGGAAAAAAGAATTTCGTGCTAACAGTTAACACCCAAAGAAAATCGGATATTTAATACTCTCTCTGAATCAATGCATGTTGTTCAGATTGTTTGCTTGTCCTGATGATAACTGCAAACTTCACATTTGAACATTCAGAGCAATACGAGTTTTTACTATCTACCATAGAGGCATACGTCGCTACTAAGTACTTGGAGGTAGGTGTGCACTACACTGCTATAAACAGATGACCCTAGTTTTCTTATCTATTTTGCCAATATATACTGAGGGTTTTCTCTCGGGGTAATCCGGGTTCCTCCCACATTGAGAATTATGTGCACTAACATGTAGGCAAACAAAGAGTGATTAAGATAACTTGAAATAAGTTGTTGCATTATTGTTGTAAAAAAATGTTTATTTGAAATGAAGTAACTGCAATTGCTTACACACTGTCAGCTGCAAACCCTTATGGCAAAACCTAATGTACAATGTCAGCAACTCTTAGGGACGCATGCACAACATTCCATGTAAAATCAATATATTGGGAAGATTGACAATATAATCAGATAAACTTCATACCCTGTTACCATACTCCCAAATTCTGTGACTGCATACACTACATCCATATATATATGACAGATAGTCTCTCAAATAGACTGCAGGCTAACGTATCTGGGTAATGATGGTAATCAACATGTTGTACAAAATAAATATTGTTATCGAAAGAACAAACAGACGATAGAAATTTGGGAATATTTCTGTTTAATTAATATGACCTTGAAACTGAAGTTACAACTACATGTATGAATTATATTTATCAAAATTTAAAGCCACGTATATTTCATCTTTATACACCGCCTACCTTCATTATATTCATGTTATGTCGACAGCAAATCATGAAGCACTTCCGCTTTTTAACCCCCTTTTGCCCCCCCCCCCTCCCCATCAACGTAAGCTTATAGATGATTCCCAAGGAGGGTATCCAGTTTATCATACTGCGATCGGTCTATATAAATGAAAAAAGCGAGGTCACGATCGACATTAGGGGATGCTCACTTAACCAATCTAGCCCCGGGATAAACATTATAAAAATTCAAATTAAGCTACCTTAGATATTTCAGATATTTTTCAATGACTTGAATATATCTACCTGTAACACTGTTCCTTTAAGATTTTTGACTATAAAAGTGACTCCAATTCCTACGGCTCCGTAAATGAAAACTGCAAGAAAAGAGCGACAGAGACATAAGTTATTACTACAGCATATCGACCAATATATATCAGGAAAGTTAGGCTTGCATCTACACGGTCGGAAATTGTGTTTACAAATAGATAAAAAAAAACACATTTTCGATAAGAGAGACTGGATTAATTAAGCACGCTCTGGTAATGACACTCACCAATACTGCGTGTAATCCACGCCTTCGTTCTCTCTGACCGAAGATTAAAGTGAGGTTTGAGAATATCCTCCCACGTGATTGCACTTAGTGAACTCAGATTGGACGACAAGGAACTTGAATGAAAAAAAACCCATTTGTTTGTGAATCTGTACCATTCGGTAAAGGACGATTCAGAGATTTGGCTATGTGAAACAGGACTATTCTAGTAAACACTTGTATTATGGAAATGCTCACATATTTGTATCTCAATTAATTGAATAGAAGGAATACTTTTCTTCCGTTTTGCCGTTCTGTCTTTCACATCAGATACTCTCTCAGTATTTTTCATTAATACTCACAGCACACTTTAAGGCCTCTTCAACATTTTTTCTACCTGCGGTGTGTTTCGAAAGACATCATTGAGATTAAGGATTTATATAAGAATACGTTATTAGCCAGACGGCATATTTTTAACGATGTTAATAATCGTACGTTAAACTCGTACGTTGCAATGTCTAAACCGTAAGAGGATATGTATATATGACCCAGTGAACGGTTTACAAAGGATTTAATCTTGCACTGGTATTGTTTTGTGTACTTTCCTATGTTTTCATTTTTCACAAAATGATTGAACACCACACTAATGCGGTTTAGATCAACAAAAGAAGGTCCAATAATTGCAACGAACGTACCTTTTTCCTAAAGACTTGATTAACGGTACATTAATATCTATCGTTAGATGTGTATGATTTCTTTACATTCAAAAACTATNACAGATAAAAAATCGCCGCATAATTTCTTCCACCCTACTTAACCTTCGTAATGAGGGTAAAATCTACTAACTACTTATAACCTGCTTTCTATACAAAGTACAATATAAATTTAGGTAATCTGACCCTAAGGGTAGGCGTTGAGTTTCAGCTACTTCAGCGTGTTTGAGATTAGGACAGTCTTATTGACACTACATTCTCTTTAGCCACATGCCATTTGTTGGCCGAATGACAACTTTAAAAGTTGTTGCTTTTCTTGATAAGAGGTGATGTTCCAGACATCTGTTCTGTATGCCATTTCCATTCAAGTTCATCTTCGCTTTGAATCAGTGACATGTCTTTGGCCATTCGAATGGAGTATCTTCAATACAGGCTGTACATCACCAGTTGGTTTCAGGGCAGTATGGCAATCTTGGAACAAACTTTACACGGATATGTTTGTCACGGCCTGTAACATTGAAATTATTATATATCTGATGGACTCGCTCTTTGACGCCCTCTGTTGATTGGGAAACAATGCGACAGGGTGCTTCAAACGTTTCGCAATATTCTTGTCTGATGTTTAAGTCTCAAATGTTGCCTCAAAGCTAGAACTGCTTTTTCAGCCTCGATCCACCGCGATGTATCCATATCTACCATATCTACAGACACGCGTTGTAGACAATCGTAGGAGATCTAGTTCAGCCATTTTGTCTACAGACATATCAACCTTTCCTGATAAATCTTGTTTGCCTTTTCTATCATATATCCATCCACAGAATTTCTTGGTGACTGGCGCGAGAAAAATGACATACCTTTCTTGATTAATTATTAACATTATCTTTCTGGAGACCAACCGCTCCCTTTTCTTTTTCATTATTTGTGTCCCATGTTTGACATCAATTTTGCATTTAGAGGTAAGCGTCCTGCTTGTATACATACATATAATTAATTTTGAGGATTTCC